ACAACACACTGACGAAATGATCTAAGGTAAAGTAAAACCAGTGGAAAGTGTTTTTCAGTGGGTATTTTGGATTTTCAAGGAGACAGCAAATAAGTATTTTTACTTCAGTTCAAGGAAATACTGCTAAGCAGTCTAAATACATCTTAGTGTTGCAACAAGGTCAAGTGTCATTGCTGGATTCTTTAATGAATGGAACCTTAGGTATGTGAAAGAGGACAGAAAAAAAACTGAAAGGAAGGAAATAAGAAAAAAGAAAAACCTATTTTTTAATATCCTGATCTGACCTCTAGTTCTCTGTTATCTGAACTGCCTTTTCACTCCAGTCACTCATTTGAGTCATAGTTCCATCACCTGTAATGCTTCTAGTAGTCAGACAGCCTAAAGGAAGGATAACCACACTATACCGGAATTATGGCCTAGCCAAGCTGATATGTAACCACCACCATCACAGGCTCCATATGCCTTATTTACATGATCCCATCGAATCATTGTGAGGGAGTCATGAAGACTATGGCTAGAAGGGTCATATTAAGTAATTGACTACACTGTATGACCTATGGAATAGAACTAAGAGTCCAGAAATAAACCCTCATATGTATGGTCAATTGATTTTTGACAAGGTTGCTAAGACCATTCAATGGGAAAAACAAATTTTCTAACTAATTGTGGTGGGAAAACTGAGCATCACATGCAAAGGAATGACAATGGACCATTATTTTATACCATATATAAAAATTAACTTAAAAGTGGATCAAAGACTGAAGTGCAGTGAATTCCTTAGTATGGCTCTTCTAATTCGGTGTATTATGCGTAGAATTCTGCCACCAGATGACTGGGTGGGACTATGCAAATGTGAGGTTCTTGTGGCCCAACAAGGGGATGGGATAGCTTGCTAATAATGTAAATAAGGTATGATGGCACCTTTGTGTGGGTGAGACCATGCAAATAAGGTGTATAGAACCTCAAAGTGAGGATTGATCGGTTTGGCCATCCTGCTAGGCTTACCATGAGCTATCCCAGAGCCAGAAAGAGAGAAGGACCACTGCCATCAAGAGAGAAGAGCCAGAACTAGAGCTTGTCCTTGGACCTGAGATCCCTGCGCTGAGGCAGCAGAGAGGCAGCAAAGAGATGGCAGCAGC